CAAGAAACGATAAAACTAGTTCGCAAGGAATAGCCATAATAACGAATACTAGGCATAATAAGAACAGCTCAACATGGAAGAAAATAATATGTAACATTGATCCCACAATATGCAGTTTAACAATAAGAAACTAACACGAGTCAAATAATTTCAAATAAGGGCAAGTCCACTAAGGCATAGGATATCTAAGTTTCTTTTAAGTTTGGACAATTACAGAAGAGATACAGCCAATTCAAATAAAAGTGGGCGGCGAGAAAATCACCATAACCTCAATTAAGGGTGAACATTTGCAAAAAGGGACAACTACAACTTCAAATAAAGATATGCAGTTAAGGAAAAGATAATATGACAAAGGAAGAGATAACAATTTCAATTAAGGCACATATGAATCAAGTAAACAGTAAGAGTGGATCATGAAGTAATTGATTCTAATTAAATAGGTAAAGGTGAAACTAGTAATTAAGGAACATAATAATAATAAGTACAACTCCATATTCAATGAATACAAGGACCTAGGAACCCTAAAAGGCCAACTTCAACAAATAAGTTTGAGCACGTACTCGTCAGCTCGCGTGCACGGACTACAATCAACATAGAAGACTCAAATCCTAAGGGGCAGTTCCCCCACACAAGGTTAGGCAAGATACTTACCTCAAAGAAGATAAATTGATACTCTAAAATGAACTTCTCCGGTGAAATGACATCCGGACGGCTCAAATCTAACCAAAATAACTTCAAAGTACAAATAAAACTCATAAGAGACTATTCCGGATCATAAAGACTTAATATTTATCAAAATCTAAAAATCGACCCCTGGGCTCGCATCTCGGAACCCGACAAATGTTACAAAACCTGAACACCCATTCCGATACGAGTTCAACCATACTAAAATTATCAAATTCCGATACCAATTCGTCCCTCAAATTATGATTTTTCATTTTGAAAACTTTCTTCAAAAACCACCATTTTTCTCAACTCAAAATACAAATCTAATGCTAAAAATAAAGATAAAATCATAGAATATAATAAATTCTAGGTGAAGAACACTTACCCAATCGATTTGTTTGAAAAACCCACAAAGAATCGCTCAAAACCGAGCTCTACAAGTCAAAATATGATGAAAAATAGCCTAACCCTTGATTTGGAAAACTTATATTCTGCCCAGGTCAGAAAGCATCGCGAACGCGGAGAAAGGCTCGCATTCGCGAAGAAGGAAAGTAAGGTTGTCCAGAAAAACCCTTCATGAACACGAGGGAAGGAGTGTGAATGCGAAGAACAAGAGACGGAACCTACACGAACGCGAGACGGCGAACGCGAACGCGAAGAAGAAATATGAGGCTGCCAGGAAGAGCTTCGCGAGCGCGGGTGGCTAATCGCGAACGCGATGAAGGGGAAAAGCAAACCTTCGCGAACGCGAGAGGTTGAACACGAACGCGAAGAAGGATCTCGAGGTGGTCAGCAGTAATACTTTGCGAATGCGAAAGGCACTTCGCGATCACGAAGAAGGACACCAGAAAACAGGAACAACAATTCAAAAATAGGGGAAAAGGACCCGTAGCCCACCCGGAACAAACCCGAGGCCCCCGGGACCCCGTCTAAACCCACAAACAAGTTCTACAACCTAAAACGGACTCGCTCGAGGCCTCAAATCACATCAAACAATGCCGAAAATACAAATCGCAATATGAATCGAACTTATGAACTTCCAAAACTTCCAACTTCGAAAACTCATGCCGAAACCAATCAAACCAACCCAGAATGACGTCAAATTTTGCAAGCAAGTCCCAAATAATATAACGGGGCTGTTTCAACTCTCGGAATCGCATTCTGACCCCGATATCGCCAAAGTCAACTATTGGTCAAATCTCTCAACCTTCAAGACTTCAACTTTTTCAACTTTCGCCGAAATGCTCCAAATCAACCTACGGGCCTCTAAATCCAAATCCAGACACACGTCTAAGTCCAAAATCACCATACGAAGCTGTTGAAATCATCCATAACCCATTTCTGAGCCGTTTAATCAAAAGTCAAATTCTAGTCAACTCTTTTCGCTTAAGCTTTCAAAACTTGAATCCTTCTTCCGATTTGACTTTGAATCATCCGGTAACTGAATTCAATCATGCACGCAAGTCAATATACATAGTACGAAGGTGCTCAAGACCTTATGCCGCCGAACGAGATAGAAATTGATAAAACGATCGGTCGGGTCGCTACAGCGATCACCTATTATTACCATAACCGTTACGAGTAGACACTACTAGAAATTCGGGAAAATCCGTCCAAAAAAACCGACCAAAGTTGGTCGGCAATGGCCAATAACCGTCCAAAATGCGACCATTAATGTGTTGTCGGTATTTTGAAGGTCGGAAGGGCATACCGACTAAAGTTGGTCGGCAATTACCGACCAACTTTGGTCGGTCAATTAAATTCAAAAAAAAAATAATAGCCGAAAAAACCGACCAAAGTTGGTCGGTATTTTAATTATGTAATTAAAAAAATACACCATCTAGGAATCGAACTGGGGTCTATACTATGGCAGGATACTATTCTACTACTAGACCATTGGTGCATTTTGTTTTAAGACTATATTTTATTTCATTTATACTCTTTAATTATATTTTCGCACAAAAATAACCCACCAAAGTTGGTCGGTTTTATTAAAAAATAAAATTACCGACCGAATTCGATTGATTTTTTTAAATGACCGGCCGAATTAACCGACCGACTTCGGTCGGTTTTTTTAATATTAATTTTAATTTATTTTAAATGAAAAACTGACCAAACTTGGTCGGTTTCTTGAAAAATAAATTTTGCGGGACTCAAAAATACTTTCCCGTATTTTTGCGCCAAAGAAAACCGACCAAAGTTGGTCAGTTTCGTAAAACCAAATTAAAAAATAAAATATTTTGAAAAATCGACCAAAGTTGGTCGGTTTTTTGGCCGGTTGTTTGACCGACCAAAATTGGTCGATCGACCGTGGTCGGTTTTTGCCGAATTTCTAGTAGTGAGATTTAGTAACTGGCAATTAATGCAGTTAATGTTAGTAATGGGTAAGAATTAAGTAAGGAACCGTTACAGTTATGTCTCCTTATATAAGGACCCTTACCATATTTTGTATAATCATCGGAATATTCTCAATTATATGCAATCAATTTTTTATTTTTACTTGATTGAAGATTCCAATCCATAATTATGGGAGAAATCAGCGATCAATAATAAGCTTTCTTTCCTTCATTTATCATTTCAATTGTTTGTTTTATTCTCGCATTTTTGGAAAAGTAAAATAAATTTAGTTATTAGAAACCCCATTTTCTTTAATATTGACTTTGACCGCAAAAACTATTTTTTGGTTAAATAATTTGGTTCCGTTACCGGGAGTCTGATAATCTGTTCACTTTTCAAATTTTATTTTTAGCAACAAAGCATATCTACTACTAGCGAAATTTATCAGGTGGGTGAGAGGGGACAATAAGGTGGAACACCACCACACCAAACACCCACAGTGACTCTGCAACGCTCACGAGAAAGTTCACCTAAAAGGTCTACTACTCGTAGTGACGGGCAACAAGTAGGCGAACAAGCCAACGAGCAAGATAATTTGAAGCGGATGATTGCAAAACACGTTAGTGAAGCTTTGCGTGCTTTTTCAAGTGGATTTCCCAATGTTGTGCAGACTCCTCCACCAGTAAATACAACTCTGGAAAACTCACGTTCAGGACTTGACAACTCAGGAAGTAGAGAAATACCAAATGAATCCATAGACGAGGGTCGAGTACATCAAATAATTTCAATTTACAAAGTTTAGTACTAACCTTGCAGAAACAGCTCAAGGAAAAAAATGAGCGGATAGAACAGATACCTAGAGTGTCGTCGATAGTCAAACGAGTGGATATCGATAAATATTCGCAACAGCCCTGGAAGCTAAGTGAAGCACCTTTACCAATTTTCAAAAAGTTCAAGATGCATGATATCCCTAAATATGATGGAACCTCCAACCTACGTGACCACGTTATCGCATTCACCATGGGGGTTAAGGGCAATGATTTAACCAAGCAAGAAATTGAATCAACCTTGGTGAAAACCTTTGGCGAAGCCCTTACGAAAGGAGCATTAACATGGTACTCACTCTTACCTAAAAATGTTATTGACTCTTATGCTGATCTTGCAGATTCATTTATAAAAGCACATTCGGGAGCCCAAAAAGTAGAAAAGAGGATGGAATATATCTTCAAAGTAAAATAGAAAAGTATGGAATTGCTCAGGGAATTCGTAGATAGATTCCAACGGGAAAGGATGATATTACCACGAGTACCTGATAACTGGGCGGCTATGGTATTCTCACGTAATTTGAATGGAAAAAGTTCAGAAGCCACGAGAAGATTGAAAGAAAGATTGCGGGAGTTTCCTAAAACTACTTGGAATGACGTGTAAAATAGATACAATATGAAGCTATGAATAGAAGAACATACGGCTACCCAGCCAAAGGTGGAAGAAAGCCCGGATCTAGACGTTCGAAAACGGAAAAGAGGTCTAGTAAGAACAGGTACGAGCCTTATATGGGACATACAGGACGATATTCCCTATCTAAACAAGAACATGCATGGTTTGATTCAAGATCAAGGCAAAAGGAGACGAGTTCCTCCTCCCGATTCAAAATAGAGCGGGACACGACCAGAAGTAGTGATTTAAACTCTCAATCAAAGATATGAGATTATAGTTTCAACGCCAGTACATCAGAGTTGGTAGTTGTTCTAAGAGGAATGGGTTACAAGGTGCGATGTCCAAAAGAGATAAGGTCAGACCCCAGCAAAAGGAGTCGGAAATTTTGGTGTGAGTTTCATAACGATCATGGCCATAGAACAACAGATTGCAGGCTCCTATAGGGAGACATTGAGTATCTATTGAAGCAAGTCTACCTCATTGATCTGTTCAGCGAAAAAGAAAAATAATTTTACATGAAAAACAAGCAAGAACTACAAAAGCCCCTGTCACCAAAGAGAATGGTAAATGTTATAATCGGGGGTGAAGAAGTTAACGGGGTAACGTACACGGCAGCAAGAAAGACATCCAAGGTTACCGTTACCCACGGGAAATGGGTTCGTCAGGTTTTGGAAGGAGACAGCATAATATTTGACGACGAAGATGCGGACGGCTTGATCATTCCTTATAACGATGCACTGGTAATATCTTTACTTGTCCATGATACTAATGTTAGACGAGTTTTGATAGACCTAGGTAGCTCAGTAAATATCATTCTACTAAGAGTAGTGAATGAGGTGCAAGTAAATGATCGAATCATACAGAAGGCACGATCACTGCCTGGGTTCGATAATTCAAGTGTCATCATGAAAGGAGAAATCATATTGGCTACATTTGCAAAATGTGTCATTAAAGACACTAAATTCCAGGTGGTAGATGCAGACATGGCCTATAATATAATCTTGGGAAGACCGTGGATTCATGACATGGATGCGGTCTCGTCAACGTTGCATCAGGTCATTAAGTTCTTGTCACATTGGGGAATCCGTCAAATCAGGAGGGATCAATGGGCATCATGAGATATCAATTCAGTTGCAATCACAAGTGCAATATCCGAGGATGGAGGTACGAAATAGAAATTAAAGAACTCAGTTGAGAATAATTCAGTGCCCACCTCAACTAGAAGTCCAAAAAATCAAGCTGATATAGATTCGAGGCCTGATATGATTCAAGAACTAGAGGAAAATAAAAATATCAAAACAACCACGGAGGAGCTCGAATCTGTTATATTATTCGTCCACTGGTCTGACAGAAAAGTTTACATCGGAACAAACTTGAGCTTGGAAATAAAAAGGTAAGTTAATTGAATTTTTACGTGCTAACGGCGATTGCTTTGCTTGGTCGCATTCAGACATGACAGGTATACCACCGGAGGTAATGACTCATAAGCTTAATGAGGACCTATTGCATCCACCTGTCAAACAAAAGAAAAGGAAGCAAGGAGCATTTAAAAATCAAGTAATCCAAGATGAGGTACAAAAACTTCTGAAAATTGATTCAATACGAGAGGTAAAGTACCCCTGACTGGTTAGCTAATACTATCGCAGTTCAAAAAATGAATGGGAAGTGGCGAGTTTGTATAGATTATACTGATTTAAACAAAGCTTGCCCTAAAGATTTGTTTCCTTTAACACATATAGATCAATTAATTGATTTTACCGCATGTCATGAGCTTTTACATTTTTTAGATGCATATTTTGGTTATAGTCAAATAAAGATGGATCCTCTAGATAAGGAAAAGTCTTCATTTATTACAGACAGGGGGACTTATTGCTACAAAGTCATGCCATTCAGTTTGAAAAATGCTGGAATAACGTACCAAAGATTGGTGACCAAAATATTTCAAGAACACTTGGGAAAAACCATGGAGGTTTATATTGATATATGTTGGTCAAATCACCATAAGTAGGGGACCATTTCCAACATTTGACTGAAACCTTCGAAATTCTCCGCAAGTATAACGTGAAGTTAAACCCGGAAAAGTGTGTCTTTAGTGTCGCTTTAGGTAAATTTTTGGGATTTCTTGTATCTAACAGGGGAATTAAAGTGAATCCCGCACATATCAAGGCATTTGAGGAAATATCTGATGTACTTACAAGCAAAAAAGAGGTACAAAGATTAACATGTAAAGTAGCAGCTTTAGGAAGGTTTATATCCAAATCTTCAGAAAAATATTTAAAATTCTTTTCAATATTAAAAAAGCAAAATGAATTTGAATGGACTGATGAATATCAACAAGCTTTGAAGGATTTGAAGTCGTACTTATCGAAATCGCCCATGTTAGCAAAATCGAAGGATGGAGAAAGATTGCTTATTTACTTAGTTGTGTCAGAAGTGGTAATAAGAGCGGTGATAGTACGTGAAGACAAGGGTAAGCAATCTCCAATTTATTATGTTAGCAAATCCTTATTAGATACCGAGACACGGTATCCTCATTTAGAGAAACTTGCATTAGCATTAATTATGGCACCAAGAAAGTTACGACCTTATATTCAATGCCATCCTATTTCTGTTATATCTGCTTTGCCACTAAGGAATATATTGCACAAGCAAAAATTATCAGGAATATTAGCTAAATGGGCCATAGAGATTAGTGAATATGATATTATCTATAAGCCTAGAACATCCATAAAGTCTCAGGTACTAGCGGATTTTGTAGCAGATTTCATCTCGAACCTACTTCCTGAAGCAAAAAAAGAGGTACGAGTGTTTACCGGATATAATCTGGGGACTTGGACCTTATAAACTGACGAGTTCTTCAAATGTAAAAGGAGCAGGTTTGGGAATTATTTTAATTTCACCTTCGGGAGAGATTATAAGACATGCAATAAAGTATTATCCAATTACTAATAATGAAGCATAGTATGAAGCTGTGATTGCAGATTTAGAACTCGCGAGAGAGCTTGGTATTGAACAAATCAAAATCAAAAGTAACTCGCAGCTCGTAGTAAACCAAATGTAAGAAAATTATGTGGCAAGAGAGACGCGGATGCAACAATACCTGAAAAAGGTACGGGAATTACTGAGGCAGTTTCAGACTTGGAAAGCTATACAAATACCCAGGGAAGAAAACGGAGAAGCTGATGCATTGGAAAATCTAGGGTCTATGGCTGATGTGTCAAACACGAAAAATGCGATTGTGGTACATTTGTTTCATTCATCCCTTGATTAAACCAAGAATGAGGTAAATTTCATAATCTAACTTGGGATTGGAGAAACGAGTTTATGAATTATTTGCAGTATGTAATTTCACCTAAGGATAAAAAGAAATTCCAATTGCTACAATTGAAAGTTGCTCAATACTACCCAATATAGGGGAATTTTTATCGTAAAATGTTAGGAGGATCCTTAGCATGGTGCCTTGAACCATCACAAACTGAATATGTGATGAGAAAAATGGACGAGGGACATTGTGGCAATCATGTCGGGGGAAGGTCGTTGGTGAAAACACTAATAAGCAGGGTACTATTGGCCAAAAATGGAAGATGAGACGGAAAATTTTGTAACAAGGTGCGATAAGTGCCAGAGATATGCAAATAATATGCATCGACCAGCGGAATTACTCCATTCAATCATATCACCGTGGCCATTTATTGAAATGGGGGATGGATATTGTAGGTCCTCTGCCTCAAGCCAAAGGAAAGGTACGATTTTTGTTAATTTTAACGGATGATTTTTTAAAGTGGGTAGAAGCAGGTGCCTTCAAACATGTACGAGAAAAGGAAGTTATAGACTTCGTTTGGAGAAATATAATATGTCCATTTGGAGTCCCAAGGGAAATCGTTTGCGATAATAGCCTACAGTTCGTAGGTACGAAGGTTACCAATTTTTTCAAAAATTAAAAAATTAAACGAATGACTTCAGCACCCTATCATCCCGTAGCTAATGGACAAGCTAACTCAACAAATAAGATCGTTATCAACAATCTAAAGAAGTGATTAGAAGAATCAAAAGGCAAGTGGCCAGAAGTGCTACCGGGGGTATTATAGGCTTATCGAACAATGACAAAAATAAGTACGAGAGAAACACCGTTCTCGCTCGTTTATGGAACCGTGACCTTAATTCCAGTGGAGATAGGAGAACCGAGTACAAGGTACACGTATAGAAATGAAGCGTCAAATGAGAAAGAACTTCGTACAAATTTAGATTTGACAGAAGAGAGAAGGGAGGTAGCTTTGATTCGGATGGCAGCACAAAAGCAGATGATTGAACGGTACTACAACAGGAAGGCAAACCTAAGGTATTTCAATATTGGGACTTTGTCCTCAAAAAAGTGCTTCGATCAACACAGGCGGCGAATGGAGGAAAGCTAAGTCCAAATTGGGAAGGCTCGTATAGAGTCAAAGGCGTTGCTAGCAAAGGAGCGTATGAGTTAGAAACTATGGACGGCAAGGTGTTACCATCCTATTGGAATAAAGTCTATTTGAAGAAGTATTACTTTTGAAGAAGCTAACACCCATGGTCAGGTATCATAAAAGTTTATTTTTTACTTTGTTCATTTAAGTTTTACTAACCATTTCAGATGATAGGCAAAAAGCTAGCATGTACCAAATGATGATATTAGACCTGAAAGACACGCGAAATACTTAATTATTCCCAGTCTAGGTTACAATAATTCTGATGGAAAGGTTAAGCAGTCATCATCTAAAAAGTTACCTCCGAGTCCCATGTGTATTTTTTTTTTCAGGAAAAGGACCAAAGTAAGGAGTTGATCTAGTATTCGAGATTTCACTCTTCAATGCTCAAACACTGGGGGACTATGCATATGGAGAAGTACACAAAGGAATAAGATATACACCACGAAAGCATAGCTAAGCCAAAGGAAAAACCTTGAAGAAAATATCAAATTTTCAAGCTCGCAGAAGGAATGGGAAGTAAAGAGTTGGAGAACCGGCAAAAAACTCCCACGAGCTTTTAGGTTAAGGCCATAAATTTTGTCATGGGGTAAACGTACCCGTACTTGTAAACCTGCTATAAAGAAGCGGTTATGAAAATGTTGTACATAAATATTTGCTTGAAAGTTCAAATAAAACTTTTTCAAATTACTTCATATTTTGTATCTTTGCACCAATATGAATATGAGACGTCATCTTCATTAGTGTTGTTAATATAAAAATGCCTTCTTTTATAAATAAATAAATAAAAAAGCATGTACATATTAAGACACGACATGTTAAGAGTATTTTGAATACGAGTAAAAGCTCAAAAACTTAAAAAGCAAAAAGCATGATATATGCAGCAAAATTGTATTAACACTAATATCCCAAAAACAGGGAAGAAAAAACTTCCCAAAATCCACTTAAAGCAAAAACAAAATGTTTCATCAACACCAACAAAAGTAAAATCTCTAAGGTAAAGGGTGAAAAATTAAGGAGCATTATCAGCAGGGGTGAAAGGATCAACTTGAGAAGACGAAGGCTGGGCATCGGCTTGGTCAGCTGCGAGACCGTCTCCATCACCTTTGAAAATTTCATTCTCGGGTGTTGAGAAACTTTGACGTTGCTGAGTTTGTTCAATTACCTATTTAGATTTGGAAATTTCAGTCTCAAGGTCAAAACCCTCCTGGGTAGCCTCGGTCAAATTCTCAAGACGGGTATTCAGAAAAGCCCAGCTAACATCAAGTGTTATTTTGTCTTCCAGAGCTTCATAGTCTTTCTCCAGTTGTTCAATCTCAACCCTCAAGTCTTCTTTTTTGGCTTTAGAAGCTTCATAAGATGCCTTCAAAGGTTCAAGAGTACCCTCGAGGAACTTAATTTTACCAGAAGAGGCAAGAAGATCCTCTTGAGCTTGGGTGAGCGTTTGAACTAAATCACCAGCATACACCTCCTTCTGATTTAGAAGTTCTTTCAAGCTCCTAATCTCCTCGGTAGCCTTTGAATATTGCTTAGCAAAGGAAGATTCTAATATGTCCTTATACTTTTCAACTTGGTTGGAAGAGGCCTTCAAAACCGCTAACTCAGTGATTGTTATCTTTAATTGTTGCTCCAGAGCCCCTTTGTCTTCGGCAAGGATGTCCTTCTCAAGTTAGAGGCTTTCAAACTGTTCCTTCTAATTGTCAGCTTCAGTACGCAACTCAACCACTTGCTGATCAGTCCAGTATATCCTTCTCATTAGCTCCGTACCTGTTAGATTGATCTGCAAAAAGGCGAGATAGAAAAGATATAAACTTAGAATGTTGCTCAGCAAAGGAAGATTCTAATATGTCCTTATACTTTTCAACTTTGTTGGAAGAGGCCTTCAAAACCGCTAACTCAGCGGTTGTTATCTTTAATTGTTGCTCCAGAGCCCCTTTGTCTTCGGCAAAGATGTCCTTCTCAAGTTAGAGGCTTTCAAACTGTTCCTTTCAATTGTCAGCTTCAGCACGTAACTCAACCACTTGCTGATCAGTCCAGGATATCCTTCTCATTAGCTCCGTACCTGTTAGATTGATCTGCAAAAATGCGAGATAGAAAAGCTATAAACTTAGAAGAAAAGGAAAAAATGTAAGGAAAGAAGGATATACCTTAAGGGCAGAATGAATAACATCATTAATTAAGGTTAAAGAGCTATGAGACTCAAGTTTCTCCCTCTCCACATGGCCGATCAATGGTTTCAACCATACCGCAACTCGGCTAGATTTCGTTAATAAATTTTCACCATCAGAAACTTTAATCAACACCTTCTTCATGTTTTGTCTCCCGCTAGAAGGGCCAGCTTCTTCATGAGAGGTAGCGGCAGGTGCGTCAACAAAAATGGCTGCAGGTAAGGTGGCAGAAGAAATGAAAGAATTAATGGCATGAGCAGGGGAGGTAATTGGAAGGGCAGCAAGTGGTAACTCTTCATAAACAGGGCCAAAATCTTCTTCACCCTCGAATTCTTGGGCGAAGAGTCTATCAGCAAGACTTGAGGGGGGATTACCAGAATGGTTAACATCTTCATCTTCAAAGATGTCCAAATGGACACTCTCTGGTGCATCAACAAGATTGAAAGGCACGGAGCTTGAAGGTAGGTCTTGAGGAATGGTGGCTTCATCATCAAGAACCACAAGTCTTCTAACTTGTAGCTTCCTGGTTTTGCTTTAAGAGGTCGGAGATTTGAACCTAAACTAGAACACACTTTGGCAAATATTTGAAGAGCCTCTTATTAAAAATTATGGTTAAGTAGAATTGAACTCAAGACCTCTTCTAACTTAACAGTTAACACTCCATAAAACTAATGCACTACGACAATCACTCGTTTAGAAATGTAATAATTAATGTTATTTATTTTACACTCTTATGTAAATATTGACACCGCTTACAAGTTTTTGCGTACGCCCCTGTTTATACGTGCTTATGCATGTATTAAAAATTATAGTATTGCTAATGCTATGGTTTGTTATGTATAAGAAAAGTAATGAATAAGTTGCATAACTAATAAATGTATTAGTTATACATAGATTGAAAAATACTACCAAATATGAGATTAATAATACAAAGCTAGTACATATGTTATTTTCCCTAATACATCTTAGCAAACGACCCTTAATTATTAAGAAGGATCTCATCAAATATCTTATAACACCTCTTGGTGATGCTTATGTTTGGTTTGAAAAAAACAAAAAAGAGAAGAGGAAGCAGATGTCAAGGGATAAGAGTTATTCCAATTGTTAGGGAGGAAGTACAAATGGAATAAGTATAGGTTAACGTCAAGAGGCAACTTATTTCAAACTAGCTCACAACTCCGAGGTATAAGTTGTAGTGAGTCTTTTGACCACTAGCTTTGGAGGAATGAACTGCCATTTCAATTTGAGTACATATTTGCCACATATAGTTTGAGCTCACACTTTATTTCTTTGGTTCACTTCAAATGATTCGTAAAGTAGTTTTCAATTGTTAGACCTTAATTCAATTTCATAATTATTGTAGACTTAAAATAAATATAATTTTACCTCATCAAAACAATATAAATTTTACTTAGCGAATTCAAATTTACTAGACCAAGACAAGTATTTGGATTGTAATAACTAAATAACATTGTTCTATCCGTCCCAATCTATATGACTGTCTTTTTTTTTTTTTTTTTTTTTTTTTTTTTTTTTTTTTTTAGTTTGTCGAAGAAAGAATATCATTTTTACTATTTTGATACTTGTTAAATCTTATTGTTCTCTTGTACAAGACTTTGAGTCTCATTTTCCCTCATTTAATTATTTGTTGCAAGGAAAATTTTGATAATTTGCATATATTTAGCTAAAGCATCAAATGTTTTTCTTTATATCTCAAATTTCATGTGCATTTAGACACTATCAAATTACACATAGAATGAGACTAATGGAGTAAGACATTTGGTGAAGTCTATTATGAATAATGGGCCCTCTATAAAACTATTTAGGCTCGAATTCTGGGAGCTGAAAAGCCCACTTAATGAAGGAAAAATCTCACTTTATACCCATTAAGCCCAAACTATTTATCCTTTAATACCCAAGCCTAAAGTATTTATTTTTCTTACCTATGCAGCCCAGACTATTTACTCGGCCCACCTATTAGCTATTTGCCTTCGTATTGAAGTACATAGTGTTAAAACATCCACCTTCATTTTTGCAAGGTTACTTAGTAGCTATTACAATCTGATAACTAAATAATTTAGTCTATTTTTATTTTAAGTAGCACATACAATTACTTAATATATTAAGTTTACCAGATATGATATTTGTGTGTGTATGAAGACCCACCATTGTTGAGCTTGAAGCTACTGAATTTGAAATTTTATTTTAAAGATTTATTGTTTGATTCGATGTGGGTGCTATAAAATATTGCTTATAGTACCTTCGAGTAAGCTTCCTAGATTTGAATTTTTATGTGTATTTGAATATCCACCATTGTTGGGCTTGAAACTCTTGAATTTAAGATTTTTATTTTAAAGATTTATTGTTTGATTCGATGTGGGTGCTATAAAATATTGCTTATAGTACCTTCGAGTAAGCTTCCTAGATTTGAATTTTTATGTGTATTTGAATATCCACCATTGTTGGGCTTGAAACTCTTGAATTTAAGATTTTTATTTTAAAGATTTCTTGTTTGATTCGAAGTGGGTATTATTAAATGTTGCTTAAAGTATCTTCTAGAAGTTCATATTGAAATTTGATCATAGTTTGAGCTGATTTGAAGTGATTGAGATCGATTTTTTCAGCTGAAAATCAAAGAAGAACACAATTACCAATAGTATACTGTTACGGTATACAATATGCTGTAGGAGTATATAACTATACTGCAATAATATACTGTATAGTATACAATATACTACAATGATATACTATAATAATCGAAGAAGAACACAGTTACTTAACAATATATCGCTAAGGTATACAATATACTATAGGTGTATATAGCTATATTGCAATAGTATATTGTTATAGTATACAATATACTATAGTGGTATACTATAATAATATATAATATGCTGCAACAGTATGCTGTAATAATATACAATATACCATAATAGTATACTTCGACTGCTATTTATTAAATCATCTAGGTGCTATTATGCAAAGCTAAAGTCATGGTTATAGTAACATTATACTGTTATAGTATACAATACAATATAACAATATACCGTAATAAATAAGTCATTTTTTAATTTTTCCAACTAGGTCCTTACAAATATTTTCTTAAATGAATTTTTTGATGGAATTCCATGAAAATAATATTCATTGTATAAGAAGTAGTTGTCGAAAGACATAAAATAATAATATGAAAAAAAAGGAAACTAAAACAAAAGTTCAATGAATTAGAAAAGGAATGCGAAATTTAAAAAAATAAACAAAAGGAAGAAAAATAAAAATAAAAAGTGAAAAGAAACGAGCCAAAAAATATATGAACAGAAAAAAAAGAAAAAAGGAAAAAGAATAAAAAATAAAAGGAGAAACGAAAGAAAAAAAGAAAAAATTATCCACAAAAGCTACAATGGATAGGACGAGTAATTGGTTTGGTATGTAGAAAAACTAATGAGTAGGCAAGGGTAATTAATTTAGTTTTGGGATCTTTACACAAATAGCCGGTCATATTTATTATTTACCTTTTTGAACTATATATATTGATTTTATANAGTGGGGGCTATTTGGGTTAATTCTTCTTTTTTGTAGGTAAAGCTATAAAACTCCCCTTCATTAAGGCCGAACTCCACTAGTAACCCAAATTGGGCCCTGCATTGTTCTTTAAAGCCCACCTAAGAATCTGAATTCCACGCGCGCAGTTGTCACGTGCATATCGCGCTTGGCACCCAAAACACACACACACACACACATCACACAAACACACACACTCTCTCTCTCTCCTCTACATCTCTCGCAGTGCAAACCCTAAGACCTAAGCTCGATCTCAAGTCTCGTATCGGAGCTGCTACTTTTCCCCATTTCTGAAGGATTTTGATGTTTCATACAGTACAATTCCGGTTTAGCGTTTATTGCTGAGATAGGGTTTCCAAGTTGCTAAAATGGCGGAGGCTTCGAGCTCTCGAATTACAATTACGCTAGGACGCAGCGGTCAGGTAGTTCCTTTTTTGAAGTTTTACTTATATGCTTAAGAAATCGCAACGAAATTCGGAAATGGAGAAACGATGCAGTTTCATCAGCTTTTGTATGAATTTTTAATTATTTTCGTGTTATATGTACAAATGAGGAAGTGATTAATTATCTGGAAATGTTCTGTTATTATTGTAACAGAGAGTTATGCTAAAGAAGTGAATTTATCTTTGAATGTTACCTTTTAAAAAAGAAAAATTGCTTACCTTTTCAAAAAAAAAAATAATAAAAAAAAATTGAATTTATCTTTTAATGTTTTATTATTAGGTTGGAGGGGATAGTGTTATGTTATGGAAAAGGTGTTACGGAGCTGTTGTTGAGTAATTCAATTTTCATTGTGACAATGTTTTGATTTTGGCTTTTCATGTGTGAAAGGTGGTAAAGAAGGCAGGGTCTATATTAGGTCATCCCTTTCCTGATTCAGGACCAGCAGTTGGGAGCAAACGGTCTGTCAGAGATAGGCTAGGTACCACTGCAGATTCAACAACAGAATTCAATAATAAACGGTAAACTCTCCATTGTTTTCCTCGTAATCATTTGGTTGTGTGATTTGATCTTTTTGAAAGCTTGAAACTAGGAAAGTATGTTTTAGCTTGCATGTCTATTGGTGTTATTTTTTGAGCTCATAGTGATATTAAAACATTTTATGAGTGGGAGAAAACTAATGATTGTAAATAAATTTCAATGTAATTTAAATACTTAACCAAATGTTCAGTTAGTTTTGTAGTCTAATAACAACAACAACAATAAACCCGGAGTAATCCCACAAGTGGAGCCTGGGGAGGGTAGTGTGTACGCGGTCTTACCCTTACCATATGAAAGTAGAGAGATTGTTTCTTATAGAGACCCTCGGCTCAGGGGAAACATAGTCACATTTTTGTAGTCCAAATAGTGAACCAAAATTTCCTAATGTATGGAGTGAGGTGATTGCTATACTTTTGTTAGAGTAAATTATATGTTCAGCATTTACACACAATATCAACATTTCATTTTTGCAGTCAGCGAGGAGATGGAAGTAGATTGAGCTCTAGTTCCTATAGTGGCATTGATGGTAATAATTGCACTGCTTCTCCACTGTATATTCTTGTTTGTTAATATACATCCAAATTCAAGATTGTCAATTGTGTTCCTTATGATTTAATGAAGATGCGCGGCTTGGTAAAGATGACCTGCGATATAAAATCATGCGGAAAACTGTACTTGACCGAGGTCAAAGCAACGGCCATCAGAATGGGGTGGATCTTCGTGATTTCCTTTCAAGGCCAGCTCAATCTTCAACAGCAAAACCTAGTTTGCTACAGCAGATCCCCGAGCTGAGGGATAATAGACCACGAGTACCTGAGCCAAGGAATGATAGACAGCGAATGATTGATTCAAGAGGTTCTAGACAATACTTACCTGAAATCAGAGATTCAAGACAGTACATACCTGAAGCCAGGGATTTTAGGGGGCACCGTCCTGAGCTAAAGGATGTCAGGTATAATACACCCGAGTCAAGGAGTTTGAGCATACTGGGACGCGCTTCCTCCACAAGAAATGCAGATGCTTTGCCACAGATGGAGTCGATAAGAAATTCTTATTCCCCCTGGACACTGGATCGTTTAAGGCGAAAATCACCAGATGGAGTTGTGAGTTCTTCTAGAGGTATCTCACCACCAAGGAGAGGGGAGGAACTGCAGAGAAGAACTCCAGTCATGCCTTATGATGACCCGAGACTCGGTTCATACACAAGGAAAGATGTCTCTGAGTTTTCACGCCCCATGACTTCTGCAGCTTACCCGTCAAATACATCCCAACCTGCTGGACCTGGAAAGACTGTTGCACCATTGCGTGCCCCAATTCCACAGTCGCGCAGTCTAGTGCAGAAAAGTTCATATGCAGTACAATCTACTTGACTTTCTACTTTTTCTTTGTTTCCTCTTTTACTGAAATTTCATGTTCAGATCTCTTATAGCTTAGATGATTATATGGTGAGATTTTTCTAGTGGTAATCAAACATCATATTTATCCTATTTCCAGGGCTGCAAACTATTTCTTCCTTTCAAGTATGTGACCTCTGATAATTAAGTGTTATTCTGCATTACTTCCATACCGGCATTAAGTACAACAGATTCTCATAAACATCAAGTTGTTTGCTTGTAAAAACATATCTTTCTTCATTCTTAGATAAGAGTTGCTAAAAGGAAAATGGTTAACCTTTTCTAAAGAAGAAAAAAGAAAGAGGGCCTTGCTTTTATATAATCATCTGTTATCCATTCTTGAGAATTATGTGAAATATACCTTTTTGGATATTTGTTGGCTCTTCCATAAGCTGTGGTTTTATTCTTAACGATGCATTTTGGTGTTTGTGTTCTTTGCACCAAGACTTTATTCTTTAATAAATTGTTCACCTATCAAAATAGATGAACCTTACTGGATCTTGCAATTTTTTGGATAGCTGTAACTATGGTAGCTTGTATTCTCAAATTCCTGTCCAAGATAAAATGCAATATTTGGCTAAAAACATGATTCAACATGTCTACTTTCTGGTGTGAAAATTTAGGCCATAGCCATGTCTTGGAAAAATTCATATTGAGTACGATGGATAAATGATTGGAGGTTAAAAAGAACATAAAAAGTTAAAAAGAATTTGGTTCACTGGTCACTAAATTTTCATTTTCTTCCCCTCGATGCAGGTTGAGGATCAGCCTACTGTTGATAGTTTTTTGCACTCGTTGGGTCTAGACAAGTATGCTATCAATTTCAAGGCTGAGGAAGTAAATGTCCTTCACCTTCTAGTATCGCTTTTCAGTTGCAACATTATTGATTTATTAATCTCATCTTTGTTAATATTAAGCGTCAGTTCATGTTTAAGATTAAAACTCGAGGCATGCATGTAATTGAAATGCTTTATGCCATTAAAACTCTGCAATATCTATTGTCCCCAAAATTGTAGAAGATTTAAACAGCTCGTATTCAGTTATGAGATCTTGTGGATTGGGATTTGCATCCAAGCTACTCGATATGGTTGCTTAGAATGTTGAAGTCTTACAAAATTAGAGAGTTTATACCTACTTGATGCCACAAGTGTGCGAAGAAAATACTGCCTTTCTAAACCATCTGACGTTCTGGTTCTGGTTAGCCAGAAATTTGTACTACTTTAGGTTTCCGATTTTTCAATTGATATATCAAACTTCAAAGTTCATTTTATCCAAGGAACAATGAAATTTCCCTGCTTCTGCCCCATAAAGTTGGCCTAGATCAGGCGAACGAAGAATGGTAAATGAGTAGTTGTTTTATGGTTAAAGTAATTATATGCTTTTGTAGTTCAGATAGAAACTAGTGTTTGTGGGTGTAAGGATTGTAGTCAAAGTATTCCAACAGATACCAAGTTCATATTCAGAATGTAGTAAATATTAGAACAGTTGGGCAAAAAAAAAAAATTAAGAATGTAACATTCTTCTTTTGTAGCTAGTATGAGGGCAGAATACCAGAAGATAGAACTGTTAAGGTTGGTCCTGGGGGAGCTAAAGCTTTAAGAAACACACCTTATTTGCAATGTGTTCGCGATGTACATTTGTGACTGGACTAGTGGATTCAGAAGTAGAATTTGACAGACTTATGTGTTGGACGATAGGATTAGGATGAACTAGGTGTGGGTGACTTCTAACTTCTAAGAGAAAGTAAAAATGGCAAGCAACTTGTAGAAAGGTGGACTCCTTGCCGGAGAAAGGGCATGTGATATTTTCAGTGCATTGGTCCAAGGAGTAATGCTAACACGAGCCTATCCTCGTCAAAAGCCTGGTTACTGCATTGTGTATATGTATTGGACGAGCTACTACAATACTTGGAACTTTTGCGGCATGGGGTTAAAATTTGAAATTTGGACAAGCTTGACATTTAGGTGAGGATTGTGTTGAGGTTGCCGTTACTGTAGTACTATTTGCAGCTGTGCTGGCTGTGACTCCCCACTCATAAACGTGTACCTTCATGTCAAGTTTAAATGTGAATGTCTTTCATGTATGGGAAGTCATACAAGAGGGTTGATTTAGGAGCATCTGTTCATGTTTTCTTTTGTTAGACTCAGTTTGCTGATATGATTCGGTCCTTAAACTCAGTTTACTTTATTTCTTGTCACTAATGTGTTAATGCGTCATTTTTTATTGAATTGTTGATGAATTGCGGGTGTAAATTCTTTTCAGCTATTATACATATTTACCTTGAACTGTGCTGCAGGTGGATCTGTATTCATTGAAGCAGATGGGTGACAATGATCTGAAAGAGTTGGGAGTACCCATGGTATGCTCTTATTAAATGCGATATTTGATCTATTCTTGGAGACCTAGTGTCTCAGTTGAATGCTCTGGATTTTGTTGTGCGTGTGAATGTTTCTTTTCTTCATGTTCCCACTTTTTTCTTTTGGGGTGTTCACGGTCATAAATTTTCTGATTTGCCTTTTCTGCTTAATTGAATTCCTTTTTTTCCTTGTGTGGCACTTATATGTCCAAACTCTCTTTTAAGCTATCTCGAAATAATTTTACCTTCCGACTAGGAAATATTTAAAATATATTACATGATACAAGAGTTACAGCGGACCATTTTCGCAATTACAACTTCTTCTTTAACCAGTTTCCGGAAACAAAAAAAAAATGTCGATCCGCGTTTGCACCGTCAATGTATATTATAATTACTAAGTGGAGAAGTATAGAGCGATGGGCCCATTATCCATAGAGTTTTCGAACCGTGCGGCCACTACCCCTAGGAGATTTCTTAGTTATCCAAAAATCATGTATATTATAATTACATGTATCGATCCTTCTCCTAATAACTATATAAAATCAAGTAGTCATTCATTTGGAAAGAGAAAGCATGACTTATCTTCTCAGATGACTTTATAATGAACTGCCCTCCCTCTGTTAGAACCTTGAGAAAAGTGAGCAGGAGAGCATTCATGCTTACAAAGAGAGAGACAGAGGGAGCTCAGGGGCCTTTCTTTTGTCTTCAACTGATATTCTCGGCCCAACATCCACGATCCTGTGGATGTAAGTCAGAGGAAAGTGACTCTGGGGAAGCATTTCCACATGATGACATATCTATAGTTTGGCATGTGTTATAATGTACCTGTCTTTACCCTTTTGCTTTATTGGTTTAGCAGTTCTGAAATTATGGTTTTTTTCACTCCTAGCTTTTCTGAAAGAGATGCCTAAAATTGTAGGGTCCGAGAAAAAAGATTCTGCTTGCCCTAGCATCCCGTGCCAAGAGACAAAGTATGATTACGTGAACTGATGCAATTCAGATGCATATTGGAGCTTTGATGCAAAAATCATGAGACCTGAAGTGAGATCATGCAACTCTTCAGAAGCCTTATAGAGCATGTATTTCCTTCTCGTTCTAGCTGGACGAGCAATGAATATGGATCAGTTGTTAGATCCCCTTTGTCAATTCTGTAGTTTTCTATACAGGGCAAAATATTTTGCGGAAAAAGTCTCATTCTTTTGTTGTGTCACTGATTTTGCCTTCTCTTCTTTGTGATCCTCATTATTTTGGAATTACATACATATAATTCCGAAGCATTAGCGGGTAGCTTTCTTTTTTATTTGAACTGTGAAAGATATGGGAAATGAGCCCGCTGCCACATGCGCATATATTTGTCTGGTGAAGTAAAAATCTTTTGAATACGTTGATGCGCTTGTTAAAGTAGGGTGTGCAAAGCGTCTTGCAAGTATGCTTATAAGTTAGGTTGGTGGCGGATTTTTCTGTCTCCTTTTTGTTTTTTCCTTGTAACTTCTTTTGGGGTCTGGGATAGGCCCGTTTATGGGAGAGGAGAGGGTAGAAGATGAGAGGAGCCCTTCTTGGAATTTGAACCTTGTTCCTAAGTTGATAAAGGGTGATGTCGTGGCCACTTTGTTTTTGTACCGTTTCTTTTTTTTTTTTT